CAGAGAGAGACGTGAGCAGAGAGAGAGAAGACGTGAGCAGAGAGAGAGAGCAGAGAGAGAGAGCAGAGAGAGACGTGAGCAGAGAGAGAGAGACGTGAGCAGAGAGAGACGTGAGCAGAGAGAGAGAGACGTGAGCAGAGAGAGACGTGAGCAGAGAGAGACGTGAGCAGAGAGAGACGTGAGCAGAGAGAGACGTGAGCAGAGAGAGAGAGGCGTGAGAGCAGAGAGAGAGAGAGAGAGGTGAGCAGAGAGAGACGTGAGCAGAGAGAGAGAGACGCGAGCAGAGAGAGAGAGCAGAGAGAGACGTGAGCAGAGAGAGAGAGACGCGAGCAGAGAGAGACGTGAGCAGAGAGAGAGAGACGTGAGCAGAGAGAGACGTGAGCAGAGAGAGAGAGACGCGAGCAGAGAGAGACGCGAGCAGAGAGAGACGTGAGCAGAGAGAGAGAGGCGTGAGCAGAGAGAGAGAGGTGAGCAGAGAGAGACGTGAGCAGAGAGAGAGAGACGCGAGCAGAGAGAGAGAGCAGAGAGAGACGTGAGCAGAGAGAGAGAGACGCGAGCAGAGAGAGAGAGCAGAGAGAGAGACGTGAGCAGAAAGAGAGAGACGTGAGCAGAGAGAGAGAGGCGTGAGCAGAGAGAGAGAGAGGTGAGCAGAGAGAGAGACGCGAGCAGAGAGAGAGAGATGCGAGCAGAGAGAGAGAGACGCGAGCAGAGAGAGAGAGAGACGCGAGCAGAGAGAGAGACGCGAGCAGAGAGAGAGAGATGCGAGCAGAGAGAGAGAGATGCGAGCAGAGAGAGAGAGAGATGCGAGCAGAGAGAGAGATGCGAGCAGAGAGAGAGATGCGAGCAGAGAGAGAGAGATGCGAGCAGAGAGAGAGGCGTGAGCAGAGAGAGAGGTGAGCAGAGAGAGATGCGAGCAGAGAGAGAGAGATGCGAGCAGAGAGAGAGATGCGAGCAGAGAGAGAGAGACGTGAGCAGAGAGAGAGGGACACGAGCAGAGAGAGAGACGTGAGCAGAAAGAGAGGGACACGAGCAGAGAGAGAGACGTGAGCAGAGAGAGACGTGAGCAGAGAGAGAGAGACGTGAGCAGAGAGAGACGTGAGCAGAGAGAGAGAGACGTGAGCAGAGAGAGACGTGAGCAGAGAGAGAGAGTCGTGAGCAGAGAGAGAGAGGTGTGAGCAGAGAGAGAGAGGTGAGCAGAGAGAGACGTGAGCAGAGAGAGACGCGAGCAGAGAGAGAGCAGAGAGAGACGTGAGCAGAGAGAGACGCGAGCAGAGAGAGAGAGCAGAGAGAGAGAGAGAGAGAGACGTGAGCAGAGAGAGAGGTGAGCAGAGAGAGAGAGGCGGAGCAGAGAGAGAGAGGTGAGAGAGAGAGAGAGAGAGAGACGCGAGCAGAGAGAGAGAGAGGTGAGCAGAGAGAGAGAGACGCGAGCAGAGAGAGAGAGACGCGAGCAGAGAGAGAGAGACGCGAGCAGAGAGAGAGAGACGCGAGCAGAGAGAGAGAGACGCGAGCAGAGAGAGAGAGAGCGAGCAGAGAGAGAGAGATGCGAGCGAGAGAGAGAGCGAGAGAGAGAGAGAGAGAGAGAGAGAGAGAGATGCGAGCAGAGAGAGAGAGATGCGAGCAGAGAGAGAGAGATGCGAGCAGAGAGAGAGAGATGCGAGCAGAGAGAGAGAGATGCGAGCAGAGAGAGAGAGACGTGAGCAGAGAGAGAGGGACACGAGCAGAGAGAGACGTGAGCAGAGAGAGAGACGTGAGCAGAGAGAGAGGGACACGAGCAGAGAGAGAGACGCGAGCGAGAGAGAGAGACGTGAGCAGAGAGAGAGGGACACGAGCAGAGAGAGACGTGAGCAGAGAGAGAGACGTGAGCAGAGAGAGAGACGTGAGCAGAGAGAGAGGGACACGAGCAGAGAGAGAGACGTGAGCAGAGAGAGAGACGTGAGCAGAGAGAGAGACGCGAGCAGAGAGAGAGAGACGCGAGCAGAGAGAGAGAGACGTGAGTCCGCGTGTCTATGGTCCGCGCTCGGAGCCCAGACGGCAGTGCGTTCACTGAGCTGTCAGAGCGGGGGTCACAGCAGCTGCTCTCGGGGCCAGAGCGGAGGATGTAACGTAACGTTCGGTTTATCAAAACATATCACAATATTTAACGTATAACACTAGTGAATTTCACCTAGATTTTTTCAGACATTAAAGACAAGATGTTATATAATAATTGTTTAATGAAAAAACAATTTTGCCACAAGCAACCAAAAGATGTGCCTCAGACAAGAATCGAACCTGGGTTCTCCAGGTCCCTGTATTTAATGCTATCCATTCGGCCAACAAAGCACCTCTGGGCTAGACAGGTTTGCACGCAGTCTTATACCTGAGCGTCTAAGTCGCTGGCAGAGCTAAAGCGGACTTAGCCTGCCACCTTGTGGCAATAAGATGTACTATTTTTCACGCAGCTGCGTGATTCCCGAGAAGCGTGAATGAAGACGACAAAACGGAATGGGACCTACTGTATAAGTAAAAACTAATAAATCAACAAGCCATTCAGCAACTGATATCAATGAATGAAACTCAATAAATCCATAATATTGTTGTCTTTCACTCATTGAACTGTCTTTTCATTAATGTATGTTATATAATCTCGTAAATTTTAATAATGGTGAACTTAAAGAAATCCTAACACAATTCCTGAGCCTGTAACATCCTGTATCCTCTTCTAAACTGCTGTCTAGCAAGTTGTCATGGTTCCACTGGGGTCAGCCTACTAAATATAATCATACATACGTGAAAAGATATTCCAAACAGACAAGCAGCATGTCAACTGTCAACACATGTCCTCCCACCTGCTGCCCCCCGTCCCGCCACAAACACACGACAAAAGCCCCTGTATCAAAACCCCAGACAACCGTTAGCATTCCAGGGCGGAGCACACACTCTCAGGATCAATGGACGCATAAAGAGGACAGCCTAGTTACATATTAGTATAAAGAAGTACTTAAAAGGTCTTGTAAAAGTAAAATATTGAGAAAAAATTAGCTAAAAAAAACGAAAGATGTGACATAGGCTAAAAATCCATGCATTTGAAAAGTGCCAGGAACTCGTTTTTTTGTGTTTTGCAAGTCTTGTAAAAGCAAAAATGAGAACAAATCAGACCAGCGTGCAGTCGTCCATGTTATATAATCTATGTTCTATCTCGCAGACTTGTACTGAAGACCCCTGTAGTCCATGTATGACTCTTTGGGCTGAGAAAAAGCTGGTCTAAATCTGCGATAGAGGCCAGAAAAACAATCCACTATGAAACCTGGCCCAAAGTGTTTTATGAGAATGTGAAAAATGGTCAGCTAATATAACAGTTTTGGTAGATAATGTGCCAAAACCTTAAAAAATTGTCCCAAAGTGGATACATTTCAGTGTTGCATCAGCGATTACATACACTACTTCTATACTAAATAAAATATAATCCTTAACTTCAGCATAAAAAAGAAGTACTGTATATAGTCGCTTTAGCAGAATAAGGAGGCAAATCTAAAATCTCCAACTTTAGCATAGTAAAGAATTAAGAATAAACTCTCTAACTTTGATAAGATTACGTAAACAGAAGGGGGTAAAAGTCTGTTAAAATAACTCTTAGTGGCCACTTCTGACTGAACATTCCTTGGCACACAAACACAAATAATGAGTCCGCTTTCCACCCGCCCACTGCCCCTGATCTGAGGCCCATATGTTAACTATCTGCGCTAATTTGTCCCATTCAAACTCTTTTGCAAAAGGAAATGACAGTTTTGAAGGGTGTAATTTTAGAAACAGGGCTGTTCCCTGGGGGTCAGAGGCGCAGACGGTTGTTGACTGGTGTTGGACAAACTTCATCTGGGTTTTATTTATGGAGAAAGAGCCACAGCAAACGGTTTCTCCATAGAGCATGCTGTGCGGGCTGTATCAAAAAAAGGCACTGTACAACGTTGGTCTAAAGAGAGAACAAAGGTTTTCACAATGTCTCATGTATAAGCTATGGTGACTAGAAGAGCAATGATTTGATGAAACATGTAATATTTCAAACACCACTTATTTTTGATTAAATGATGGGCAAGGCTGAGCTCTGACGCACGATGGAGACTTCCTAATAATAGAACGACTCCGAAACAACCATCAAAAAGATCAAACAAGCAAAACATGGGAAAGAGCTGCGGCAAATATGCTACTGTGACTGTAGACAGTGGTTCTCAACCGGGCGTACATGGACCCCTAGGGGTACGCAGGAGTATTACAGGGGTACTTGGAATGATTTTCAAAACTTGCAAACGCTGATGAGTAAATGGGGGGTTACGATAGCGGTTTACGTCATTTTAAAGCCAATTCCCTCAAGAAAATTACTATACAACTAATTATATTTTAAACATTGAAGCTAGAACATAAGTCCAGTTCATGATTGGTCTATCAATGTGCAAAAACAAGCTTTTGGTCAATTTTTTTTATTCAGTAATAGCATCAACTAATTTAGCCTTTTTTGAGGAGCTCTCATTGAAGAAGAACCCTGTTTGATTCACTAATCATGGTGCTGACCAATGACCAAATATTATGCACACAATAATTCTTACACATTTAAGAATAGACCGTGCCTTGAGTGTTTTTTCTGGATGAGAAAAACTCAAATGTAATATCAAAATGCAAAGTCTCCGTTCAACCACCTCCTCCCACTGCCTGCACCAACCCAGGACCAAACTCTCCACCATGGGAGATAGGGCCTTTCAGGCAGTAGCCCCCCGGCTCTGGAATGCCCTCCCAGAAACCCTCAGGGCCCCACAAAGTGTGGAGGCTTTTAAGAAAGGCCTAAAGACATTTCTATTCAAACAGGCCTTCTAGATATGTACAGATGTTATATTTGATGTATTGTTTTTATGTTGTGTATCTTGGGGATGTTCCCTGTTTTTGTAGCACTCTGAGGTTTCCCTGAAATGTAAAGTGCATTATAAATAAAATTTATTATTATTATTATTATTATTACAATGGCCTCTGCAATGGCCATCTGTTCCTGTTTCAAATACGTCTCCCGCTGGACTCCTCCGCTGGACTCCTCCGCTGGACTCCTCCGCTGGACTCCTCCGCTGGACTCCTCCGCTGGACTCCTCCGCTGGACTCCTCCGCTGGACTCCTCCGCTGGACTCCTCCGCTGGACTCCTCCGCTGGACTCCTCCGCTGGACTCCTCCGCTGGACTCCTCCGCTGGACTCCTCCGCTGGACTCCTCCGCTGGACTCCTCCGGCCTCCCTCCGGCCTCCCTCCGGCCTCCCTCCGGCCTCCCTCCGGCCTCTCTCCGGCCTCTCTCTGGCCTCTCTCTCAGTCAAAATCAAACTACAGTAAGTGAAAAAATGCAACTAGTCAGCTAATCGGACATTTTTGGACAAAACATCTTTCAAATAAACTACAACAAAATATAATGCTGGATTTTTAAGGGCCTTCATCTCAGCCTGTCTTTTTGAGCTCCGATAGTTTTTGACATTTTCTGGATCTGAGCACGTGTTCTGTACCCTCCATAGAGACTAGCCTGTCGCTAACATGAGTCCAAGTAAATGTCTGTCAAAGAGGAATGCTGTGACAGTCAGAAACAAGTCAAATCATTTCACTTCACTCACCGTCGAGACATGAACACAGGCTAACTTCAGAAAGGCTTTAGAGAACGGGCCTATGGTATAAATGCACATACTGTAATGGGACGATTTGGGGCCAGAAAACCACCTGATCCTCACGCTCTGATCCGTCTGTGGAGATACGAGACGGCGGAGACGTTTTTGACTGGAAATGTAAAGCAGACGGCCAAGCAAAATATGTTTGATTAAGTTGAGAAAGAGCACAGCGACACAAGTTGAAACGGTGATGGCTTTATGTTAAGTATTATTACAAGAGGTCTGCTTTGTGTAAGCTTGACAGGCCTCAGACCAAAGTAAGATAGCAATTTGTCTCATAATTCTACTTGAATCAACCAGAAGTGAACCGCATGCCAATCTGTTACACGTGTGGTAAAATAAGGAATGAAACTGGGCCAACTTTTGAAAAATGAATGCTATAAATAATTTCCCCATTCTTCAGTAAGTGATTAGATTGTGAAAGACCTTTTTATGAGATTCTTTGTAAAATTGACTCACAAAAAAGTTTCCTTAGTCCGTTCCCGATCCCAACATTGTGGAAGATGGAGTTTAAACTGGAGGAATTACCAATTGCCTTATTTTTACTTATCATGATTACGGTTCATCTTCAATTTAAAATGGTAAAAAGCATTTACTAGAAAAGCTTAAGCATTTGCACTCTGTTTATTGCGGGAGTCATTTGAAATTACCAAATAAAAGAGACACACGCAAAACACGCAGGGACACCTCAAGATCTTGGTATTTCGTCCGGCTACAAGCTAACCCTTTCCTTATTCAGTCCTCTAAACTCAACCAAATTAACCTAACCATAACCAAATTGTGACTCTCGAATCAAAATGGCAATGTGAAATAGAAAATAGAAAATGTGAAATAGAAAAAGGGGCTCACTTTATAATGTTATTTTGGTCAATGTTGCCAAGTTGAAGGCCCGAAAATTGTTTTTTCTTGGTGACAGATCCATTTCCTTTATTCAGTGTGGTTGTGTGAAAGCTCAAATGAAGTCCATTACCTGCAGTGCAATGCCATTTCTTTGGAGAATGAAAACACTGTAGGGATGATTTTGAACAATAAACTTTTGGAGCAGAAAACAGCTCAAACATACATCCCTGTTTTTACATCACGGTTCAAAAGATTAAATTGTAAAATTGAACTAAGTATGATTTATTATAGTAATTTCTGTTGGCAGAACAAAAAGAGAAATGCTCAAATTCATACACAACAAAGCAGTCAGTTATAGATCTTTGAGGATGAAAAGTAAGCGTTCATATTGTGACATAATCATATTGTGGATGGTATTCCAACATGTTATGACGATCTATGGCAACAAATTTTATAAAATAAGTGAGCAAGGCATTATCCAGGTGAAGACAGACCTGGACGAGAGACGCAGGGAGTAAATCACTATCAAAGACAGTGCTGTCTTTGAAAAGAAAACAACCACCAAATACGTCAGCAGCCTGATCTCAGACCATTATTAGCATCATAAATATGTCCTCCTCCACTTCCTTTTGTCATGGCCCAAAATGTGATTGTCATTTTCCATAAAGGTGACGCGTACAAGAGACAGTGCAGGAATTTGGGAAGACCTCCAAGGAGCAGGAAGAGTTGAAAGACATGTGATTGGTTCAAAGATGGCCCAGTTTGGAGATGGGAGATTTTCAGATATGGAACAATCAACTTCTCGTATATGACACAAAGAAGAAGAGAGGCCTGATTCCTTTAATGGAAATCCAATCTTCATTATCTCTTATCTCTTGTACTCCCAGTTTGGATCACTGCTTCCAGATGACGGCGATGAACTAAAGATTGTGTGAGAAGATTTTAAACTATTTCCAAAAGTGATCGCATCAGTGTCTTCAGAGAGATCACGTTCAAGTGTCTGCTGCTTTTAGTGGATTACAAAAGGTATGAACCGTACGACGATGTTTACAAATACACAGGACAATATTGCACTTTTATATTCCTTTTAAAACTCACATAGTTCCCGTTCCAGATTTAGAATAATCACGTGCCAATATCCATAGAGTTCTTTGTGGCCTGATGCCATGGTAACCGTATTAAAATGAAGTCATGTGAGGCACTTGAGTAAAACTGCCCCGGGACAGAAAGTCACAGAGCGGGGTCAGACGCTCTTGGGACAGGTCCACACTCGCCCTGGTTAAAGACAGGAGCAGTGGAAAGAGAAACACAATAAGGGCCAGAGAAGGCTGGAGTTATATTTGTCACTGAACACGAGTTCACTTGGAGATGGGACCAAGGCCGAAACTCCAAACTGAGCCAAGCGCTCTCATGTCCAACTGTATCAGCAATTAAATAATATTCAAAAACATTCAACTTTGGTTATGGTTAATATACAATTTTGACAAAGATTGCAAAAGGCCATGACTTTATCGTGGTTTGAGATAAAGGCATTCTGGAAATGTTAATTATCTTCAGTATGAACCAAGATTTGTGATGGAAGTTGATTCATGATCTAATTTGCATGTTGTGACGTCATCAAGATGGCAGCCATATTGGAAAATATAACATTTTGTATAAAGATTTCAAAAAGCTGTAGTTTGAGATCAGGGAATACTGTCAACAGTCAATGTGAAATATCTTTAGTCTGAAACATGTGGGACAGAAAAAAATTCACTGATCCAATTTATATAATCTATTAGCACTGATCGGTGGCCATATGGAATTGTATTATTTTCAAAGACCATCAAAGATATGGATGGCACTGCTTATTGTTTACCAGATTAAACAGAGAGATTAAATCAATGGGCTCACAACTTGTCAGACCGTCTCATAGCGCCGCAGCGACAGAGAACGCAATTAGCGATGTTTTTTTCCCCAGCGTCTCCCGCGTGTTATGAACCTCCTGCCCCCTCGACTCTTGTTTGGTGTTCGCAGAATGCTTCCACTGCTTCACTGGACACCTGCATGTCTTCCTCCTCTGAAAATGTGTCAGCCAGTACCTGAGCTAGTACTTCGGCCTTGCTCTTCCCCGCTCTGCTCAGTTCGTCTCTGCACCTTTTACAAACTCATTTTACTCTAAAACTTTCATAATAACCACAACCCGCAAATGCTGCTCAGATTAAAAGCACACATGTCCACTAACTCCTGGTGAAAAGTGTTAACAAAATTCTGCACCAGATTTATAGATATATCCAGTTTTATTCAGCGAAGTCGCTTTGGAGCTTAAAGGGTTAAGTTGAACATGTCAAATGCAGCACTTATCCAAATGCCTGAAAATATTTGTTGATGGAAATGTTGAAGGGAGAGGCCAAGTAATCATTGCAACAAAAATGTCATGTTCCCTCTTCATAATGAATATAAATAAATTGAGACTTGACACTCTTGCCTCTGCATACACACTGCTACGAATATACAAGCACTGACTTATCTCAGAATCTGACAGAGAAACATTCCTGACTCAAGGTCCTCCTCCCTCCTCCAAAACACAGGAGTCCATGGAACAGCCCAGAAATACAGAAGATTTAACTTCATAATATGTCCTCCTTGTGCTACAGAGAGCCGTCTCTCCAAAGGAACGTGCGTCATTCATACCATATTTAAGAAGTACAACCAAACAATTGCTTTGATTGGACTAAAACAATCTGCTTTAACTCTGCATTGAATCACAAATGCAGGAAAAGTCCCATTTCAAAATCTATGCAGTTATAGTTCAGTTGGGTTTTAATAATTTGAGTTTTTTGGAGTTTTGTCCAGATAAACTTAAGAGTATTATTGGTTCTGTCCAGGTTCAATCTGTTTTATCTCTAATTGATGTGGGCCAACTGCAAACAGTCGTTTTTTTGTGATATCATTGTAAACGACATAAACACTAGACAAAGCTTATATTTTGTAATGTCTTCAAATTGTGTGTTCTAAAAAAGCTATCAATAAAAGAGCCATATTTTTATATTCGACAACCTATTCATTTTTATTTAGTAAAATAGATTTTTAAATTTAAATTGATATTTTTTTTTGATATTTTCAATCCTCACAAATCCACACAATGCAAAAAGAAGCAAAAAGCTGAGATTTTCAACAAACAATTGTCAATAAATTAAATATCAATGGATTAATTATGTTTTTCTTCCGCTTTATCTGTTGCCCAGTTGTGGGGGCAGCAGCCAGACCTCCCAATCCACACAACATTAGTTATTTGCAAATTTCATGAGTTCAAATTGCGAAGTATACAACATATACAAGCAACAATTTGCCCCGCCCACGTAATAAATCATTCCTGATTGAACGGATTGAAAGCAAATCCTCAGCAATGGCCCAACTCTCCCCCAGAAAATCTTACTGGAGGTGGTGGTAATAAATAGTAATTTACATGAGACTACAGAATTGTATGAACACACAGAGGCATTGTTTTCTAAGAGAATTACAATTGAATTAGCAGACATAATCTATTAAATAAGGTGAAACACTTGGCTAGGGACCAAAAACATTTTATACAGAATCATATCAAATGGCTTGGAAAATCTATTATATCTAATTGTTTTATATTGACAATGCCCTGTATCTTTGTATCTATCATAACGTGGCCTATGTATCACAAACTCAGATGATAAACCGGCATCTACTTATAATGCAAAATCTACATCTGAGGCAGTGTTGCTCATACTGTGGTGCAGAGGAATGCATGGGGAGCTGAGGAGTTCACACTATCAGAGTGGTCTAAACACACGTAAAAGCACAGAGCCTGCCTCCAGATAATATTTGTACATTTTTCAGCCGCTGGAATGTAAAATATGTGGCCTGGAAGCAGAAATTTCCCATTTGCCCGAAAGAGACGACTCCCAATCACAAAAAAAGTTCAGACTAGATAGTGGAGCAGGTAGAGATGAGGGAACAGGAGATAGCACTGAGTAATCATTCTTGAATCATTAACTGCCATTGACGTATTTGTCTGAGACCATCTATTCGACTGGGGATTACAGGACAATAAAAATAGCTAGAAACAAACTTATTGTTGCTGATCAAAGTAGAAAATCCAGTCTTTCAGAATCTGGTTTCATATTTCACATAGGCTTAGGAAATAATATACTGTGGGTCTTGAGAATCAGTGAAATCATTAAAAACGGTTGGCAGTCAATGAGTTAAATCATTAAAAAGGTGAAATTAGCTGAAGCTTAGGTGTCATGAGGTCTTGATAAACTATTCACAGGATGGATTTACTAATAACTTTATCTAAAATGTAGTTAACAAAACAAACAAGAAATGTATTGGTCAAAATACACAATCTTGTAGATGCTTATCGCTTCACAAGGTTCTTATGTGATTAGTGCATTTCTTAAGGACATCTTTGTTTGGTCAAAATTTTACTTTTTTATATTCTAAACAAACTGTTTTGCCTGACAGCCAAGTTGGGAAGTAGTTAAGTTAGAGTTACGAGTCACAGTCACGATACCAAATTATTGATTGACAGTTTTGCATCAGATCTAATGCAAGACCTACAGTAGTTTAGTCCATCTATATTGTGAGTTCCTAACCCAAAACTACCACTGAGGCACACTGACAAAGGCGAGGCAACCAGTATGTGGCATCGCCCCCCAACCACCACCAACCAACCATTTGCACACACACACACACACACACACACAGGACTCATACTAGGCAATGCCAAGGACACAACAGTTAAGCACTTCACAGCCGCAGCCGCCACACTCTGGGACCTGCTGTTCCCAGAGGTCTCCCATCACAGTACTTTCCAGGCCTTGCCCTGCTTAGAACTGGCTTTCACTAGCAGGTATTTTTTCAGGCCAAAAAGTGGACCACCATCACTCATCCAATCAGTTCTCAGCTCAAAGCATCAAGTGTGCACAAGATAACATGTTTTCTAATGAATCTAAGACCGTATTTGATCACAAAATCATACTTTTACCGGACTCATTCTGTTGGGATGAACAACATTCACGCTGATGTTGTATAGAAAAAGTACCACAGCTTTAATATCCCAAAACAGAACTCACGTTTTGCAGCAATACCACTCGTCACGGTGTAAATGCCCGCAGCACATTCAATAACATGGCATTCTGTTGGCCACCTGCACAAACAGCAGAGGACCCACAGGAGCGCAGTTTAGTCTACAGGTGTTGTGTCTGGGAGATTATTATAGGTCTATTCTTAGAGGCAGCAGCGGTGCAGCGATACAGAGGACCGGGGTTTATCAGGCAGCGAGGAGCAGGTGGGTGACCCCTGGATGCGATAGTCTGTTCCTGGAGCTCATGTTTTTCAAGTGGCGTGGGTAATTCTCATTCATGGAGTGACTGAGGACGCCCCTTGGCTGTTAAACCACTCATATGAGAGGTTCAGGAGGTCACAATCAATAGTAATAGGCAATAATGGTTATTTGATTCACAAGGCCTAAAATCAATAAAATTCTGTCAGTCCTAAAAACAACAAGACTTTATAAATGTATCTATAGCATATGTTGTGCGGTTATGGACTAGGGCTGCAACTAACAATTGTTTTGATAATCAAGTAGTTGGCAAATTCTTCTTTTGATTAATCGATGAGTTGCTTGTTAGTGTACTCCCTGTGTGCCCTTACTAAAGTCCTGTATGTGTGCTGCAACACTGACATTTCCCCACTGTGGGATGAATAAAGGTTGAATCTCATCTTAAAAGCCTGTGAGTGTGGATGTTTTTTATACACTGCCCCTGGAGATTCTTTACATATTGGGAAGTCAACACATTTATGTCGGTGGTTTGAATCCCACTCCTGACATAAACATCAGAGGTTGATCGGTCAGTTCGATTGTGAATAAGAGACTGATTCCGAGAAGTGAGACGCTTTGAGTGCCTTGAAAAGGTAGAAAAGAGCTATAGAAATGTGAGTATTTACCATTTTCAAATAATTCTGCAAAAGTTAAAGAAATAGCCAAGTCATAAAACCTCTTTTCAAAATGTTTAAGCTTATGTAGGGTAAAAACTGCACTTGTTACAACCCTATTACACCTCTATAACTGAACATATAGTAACATGACATCTCTTTGTAGTAGAAACAACATGGGCCTGTTATTTAATCATGAGAACTCTTTAAAATACCCCTTGAATACTTTTTTGCCGGCAGATGGAATCATTAAGACATTTTCCCGAATAATAAGTTACACACTTCAGTTCTTACCAGTATGTTTATGGCAGGCTATTTTGTTAGAAGTAAAACAAAACAAAAATAAGATTGTGATTTACTCGATTAATCTTGAAGTTCTAAACGTGGCGCGCACCTGATGATGAACGGCGTGAAGGGGGCCAGACCCAGCGGAGAGGAGGAGCCGTCCATGGGGGAGGGGTAGAGCCGACTCAGCACCAGCAGCAGCAGGAACAGACTGGGATGGAGCTTCACCTGCCCACTGTCACTGTCGACAATTACAAAACAACAGCGGTTATACACAAAGGCAGAGCTGTGACTAAGAGAGAAGGCCCTTAATTCATCCCACAATGGGGACATTTCAGTTTGACGCATACACAAACACATATACACAAACACACATACACATATACACATACACACATCAAGGCAAGCAGCGAACATCACTCCCGCGCTCCTTATAGGCAAAGTGGGGTAAGTGTCTTGCCCAAGGACACAACGACAGCAGACATCAGTGGGAGTCGGTGGAGAAAGTCTCGTGGTGGACTCAATTAATATTCTGATTTAAAATGCTTATGAGATGCTATCCTATTTTGACCTTGATGAAGCTGAAGTGAAGCCACCGGAGGACATTTTCTTTTTTCCGACTTTATTTATAGATTTTGCATCGGTAAAAACAGACAAATACTCAAAATAAGTTTAGCAAAATATAAAAAATATTAATTAATTTGTATAATATTACTTTTCATCAAACAAAGGCAAAACCCTCCAACCCTATCCCAGCTTTTCTAAAAAAATAATAAATAAAAAAAAATAATAATTTTGTCTTCATAGTTTCAAATAATTGGTTCAATTCAAACATCAAGAGGAAATATTTACAAAATCTAGAAATGGGGTCCATGTGGCGGTAAACTTGTGATGACAATGCCCGGTACCTAATTTTTTTTTAGGGGCAACAAGGAAAGCACCTCCTTCAACCATTGTATGACTGAGCCGGATCAGACATTCTAAAAAACTTTTTCCCAAGAACACACTTATTAAAAATGAGATAGTTGCAAAATCTCTGAATATTTTACTGCTGTTTTGAGATAAGTTAATGATTATCTGATTATCAAAATAGTTGTTGATTATTTGCGGCACTGCTCAAGATAAAAACAAAGAAAGTGGGAACACAACAATCGTGCTTTTATTTTAGTCAATCTTCTGCTAAAAAGTTACTCGCTGGAGTTTGGGCAAAAACAAGGACGTTTATTTACAAGTTATAGGAATGACTATGTATTTATTGGCTAACGAGGCTTACTGCGACAGAATGAAATTGGCTAAAGAAAATATCCCTTTGCTCATTTATCATAGGGCTGGGCGATATGGCTGAAAACTATATCACGATATAAGTCATTCATATCGGTCGATAACGATATATATTGAGTTTTTTTTTTTAACCTAAATAAATATATTTGTCGTGTGGGCTAACCAACCTTAGCAGCCTTGTTTACAGTCACGGGGCGATGAGGCTGGAGAAATATGTTCACACTGTGTCCCTCGTTGTTAGTCCTGGTTTAATCCTGGTTTTTATTCCTGGTTTAGCTCCTGGTTTAGCTGGTTGAGGGTCTTGTGTCCCCGTGGCCGCTCCGTGCGGCTCTCTGTGCCGCACATGCTTCCCGAGGAAAAAGTTAATCTCTTGCTTTCGCCGAATACATCGGGTCTGTCCACTGCCTCTGCCGCCGCACATGTTATTCCGCGCACGTACGTGCATAACCATTGACACGGCATTGAAACACGAGCTATAGATCCATGGACGCTACGCATGCTGCGGTTGTTGTTGTTTTTGCATTTCCCACAAAGTTTTGCGGTTCCTGCTCGGCTGTTATTGGTCAAGAAGCCTCCGCCTACATCCCCCACAATGCCATGCGCTTATGAGTCGGCTTTACTTCCGGTGTTTTCTTCCTGTTTTTCCTGACGGAGTTAAGTTAAACTATCGAACATTCTATCGACCCCATTCTCTATTGATATCGAACACATGTCTATCGCGATATATATCGTTATCGTTTTATCGCCCAGCCCTAATTTATCAACAATGTGGCAGTTTTTCTCAGTCATCTCTTCAGTCTCCTCCTGTCCTTGAACCCAGCGTTCCACCTCCTGCTCACTGATCTGATTATTGAGTGAGTCGGTGGAAAGATCTCTTCTCTGCCAGAGATTTCACATTTGGCTCCGACATGAGCACAGGAAGCAGAAGATTTTTGAAGATTAGAAGAAAGTATCAAACCTCAATATAAAAAGGGGTTTATTAGCAGTATATGGAATTGGACTGCAAAGGATTAGTCAACCATTGTGACTTGTCAACAAATAAAATGATCATAATTGAGTTTTTATTGTCAGAAATAGGCTTTAAAACAGAACAAAAGAGTAATTCAACTTAAAATGGGAGAAAAATATGTATTTGTTCTTTATGAATCCAGACTCTTGATCCGAGCTCTTAAAATATTCAGAGCTCTTTTGGTTCCTGGAAAAGCAATGTTCCAGCTCCTTCCCTCTGGCAGAAGAGATCGTTTGTGGAGATACAGGGGACTTTTGCACATGTATTCCAATGTGGTTTTACTGCAGACGGCAAATAATCTGAATCTGATAATAACAGATGGCTGTATATCTCACTGTGTGTAATGAGTTTGTCATTCATAAGATTCAAAATTATAAGTTCAATTACAGAAGTAAATTCACTTTTGAACAATATTCTCATGTCCATCTGTGCATGTTCATATTTGTTTGTTAACGACAAAACCCTTCTTTAGTGACAGCCCTAGAATGAATTTTAGCTACTAACTAGTTTATGCTAGATCGTGCAAAGGCTACATAGTGCAGAGAGACATAGTAGCTACGGCAGGCTCATGCTTCACTAATACTGCATAAAACATTTGCGTTTGAAGGTACGGCAATTTGGATACATACAATTATTGCAGGTATTTTGCAACCCCGATCGGTAAAAAGCTGTATTTTAACTTTCAAAAATGCAAAGGTTGGGGGGCAGCTCCATTGATAAACAAACACCACCAGTAAAAAAGGTCTTGCTTTTTTTTTTTTTTATAAGATCAAACTGGCAACATTTGATCACCAAGTTTCTGGAGCAGTTTAAACTCTCCTCCAATAAACAGCTTCAACCCTTCCTTATATGAACAAAAAGGTTATAATAATGGATAATGGTGGGAAAGCTGGTTCTTGACACATAGCGCCTGCAGATGGTTTGAGCGTATAAAGTGTGTCTGTGTGTCACGAGTCATGAGGATCTCATCAAGCAAACAGAACAACTGCAAAAACAACTTGTGCTTTTCATTATACTTTGTCCGATATAAACAAAGAGGGGGGGGGGTGAGAATGCATAAGATTTTTCACCAATACAAAAACTGTACCGGAATAAGTGCGAGATGGATTTATTCAATGGTCAAAAAAGGCACCTTCAGGGGAGGGAGGTGTCGGGTCAGGGAGGGTTTGGGTCTGTGTGTGTGTGTGTGTGTATGTGTGTATATGTGTGTGTGCTGGAGCCAATATGAATCCGTTTCAAAGCGTCGGCTCAAACTGTATTTCCATTCATTTTGTAACTTATTTTATTTTTATTTATGTACATGAGGTTACAATGTACATTTAATCAAAAGGTTAAAATGATTTTTAAATTAGTGACACTTTTTAAAATGGCCTCCTATTTCTTCAAGATGGTCGACCACTGTACAATGTTATCAATTGTATTATTTATTGCTGTTTTTTTAAATATTTATTAATTTCATAAGAACAGTATGATGCAAAGGGTAAACATTAGGACATTATTCTTCCAGGATTGGCTTGTGTTAAAACTGCTTGATTCTCTGATCTGTGTTGGCAATTTCAATGGTTTTGTCAAGTCCTCCACGATAACTACTGTTGTGATTTAGGGCTGTACAAGATACATTTTAGTGCCAAGTACAATTTTACGCCCGCTTCAGCAAATTACTTTGAATATTCCGTCAACAACAAAACATGCTGAAGCTTGTAGCTGGAGGAATACAACCTTTTTGACGCAAGATAAAATTACCGACGGGTGAAGATAAAGAAACCTGAAGCTGAACCCGGCAATGACTCACATCTAGACATTCAGAGTTTGTGAACCTTTGTCTCTGGGGAGGGATTCAGATCGTGGGGGAGATGAGGATAGTAATTATCTTGTTTTAACGTGTTCAGAGTCACAGTTCAGAGGAGCGCAGCGGGACAGGAAGTGATGTCAGACCCCACCACCAAAACAGACTACAATTACAAACACATGGGATCACAGCTGTGGCTCTGGGTTTGACAGGATGAAGTCAAGACGTACAATAAGTTTATGGACCGCCTCAAAAAGCTGCGAGTGAAGATTTGAAAAGAACAAAGGTACAACAATTTGCAAAAAACAGGTTCAGAATGAGTTAGTGTTAAAAACTGTCAAATAAAACAGAATAATCCTATAATAGTATGAAAACTGCTGGGCTGTATTGAGACTTTTTCAGAGGAAACTGAATGGAAAACATCTCTGCATTTTCTCTTAAGAATTTGAAGAGAACAGACAAAAACCAAACGGTGGAATTCTGTGTGTAGGGTCAGAAAAAATCCTTTCTTTGTGGTGACTGAGCAAAAAGGGTCTGACGCGCCACATAAAAAAAGAAATGTCCACAAAAAAGATTCTTGAATAATAAAAATATTTATTTTACAAACAAAAAATGTACTTCAAATTGTACCAAAATCAAAATGAAAGGCACATGTGAGACAGAGTGAGTGAGTGAGTGTGGTCAAAGACTGTCTCTTCCTGCTGCAGCCACACCTCCAGGTGATACTGCACACCTTATGTAGCCCTTCCCCAGTGCGTCCACTAGATGGCGACAAAATCGTCAATGGGGGCTGTACAAAGTATCTTAACTACATTTTGGCTCCTACATTTCCGGCCCCAAATCACATTTTATTAGTTTCAAATATGATGATGATATGGTATTGACGGTTTCAGTCACTGCACTCCACTGCGTCTCCCGTTTGCCAGAAGTAAACACCATGTCTTTGCCGTGGTGTAGACTGAACAACACTCTTTGACAAAGCTTTAAAAAAGTGGCAGTTTTTAGTGGATGTCCGGCCACTGAAGTTGAGGCTGCTGTGTCTTGTTGTTTATCCACAAACCTGCAAGGGCAATGCACTGAGGGTCATCCTGACGTGTCCCATTCAGTTTTGGGTCTAAACATCGTCGTTAACTCATTGATATACTGTTGTAGTATGCGGACAACATTACTTGCTAACTCAATTGCTAAATAATAATCAAGTTATCAACAACCTAGTCTGCGGGGAGGGCGCAACTCTTTGCTCCGGTTTCCCCTACCACTAAAAATATGCACAATAGGTAAAATCCTCCAGCTCCGGTCTAGCCTGGTTGTACCACACCATAGTACAAATTTCATTTCATACTAAGGTCTGGATTTGCTCCATTGAGCTCCGTTTACAGGTGGGAGGGGGTAACTCCTTTTGCAGATTGAAACGATTGGATTTGAGTTTACCGTGACGTATGTAATGCGCCCGAGTGTGTTGTTAGCATTTAGCATTTAGCCTAGCCATCTCCTTTGCTGCTAACGGAGCCCGTGGGGAGTAGCGCCACAATCTTGACCAGCGATTACATTTGCTAAACATTCCTCTTGCTCCTGCTTCAATTTCTTGATAGAACCAGACCGGATTACTTTACTATCGCATTCTTCACCACTGCCAAACAACAACCTGCCCGTTCGACCCAAACTCTTGACGTCACCGGCACCGACCTACAACGCGCTCTCCGAGTAGCCGGTCAAAATACGACCGATTGTATTCGCGAACATAGGGACCAGACCCAGACGCTACATGCAGTGAAATGATTGAGCGGAGTGTACGGATGGCTATGGCCAGGCTAGCTCCGGTCCTGACCAAGCCAAGCATCAACATCTGGAGGTTTTTTTTCCCCGGACACTGTTACTACGGCGACCACTGCTCCTGACAGATCCCTATGTGGCATCAGGATGGGTCAAATGCAGAGGAAAAATGTACCTAGGAGAACAATAAAGTGCACATTTACAAATTATTCTAGCTTCTGCAATATTAATCATTTATAACTTTTCAGACAATTTCAAAGATTAGCTGAATGCTAATGGGTTGCATTTGGGAAAAGTGATATTATTAAGAAAAGTGATATTATTTCATCAGCCTAGACAGAGATGAAGGCAAAAATGTACAGTAATCAAACATCACCAGATTAAGCCAAAAGAAATGAAGCTGCAAAGTTAGACCCAAAAGTACACCATCATTCAAAATGCTAAGATAATAACTATTTGTCTAGTTCAGTGGTTCCCAAAGTGGGGGTCCCGACCCCCCGGGGGGTCGCGGGAACCCCTGGGGGGGGTCGCAAGATGATTTCTACACAAACAAGATTTTTTTTTTTTGAGCAAATATAAAGCCCTTAAATATTTATTTAGCATTTGATTTGATTCAAAAGGACTACTTGTTAAATTGTGTTTGGAGACTATAATATATTTTAATAACGTTAGTAATTTTGTCCCAGTCATTGCAGCGTCAATCAAAATCATCACGTAACAGCTCACATCATGCTCAGCGGCAAAGCGTGTCCTGCTGTTGTTTGCTAAAACTAAAGGTGTTTGCAGGCTACAAATAAATAATACCTGCTTTAAAATGAAACGTGGTTAATATCCACAACAGAAAAACCCGGAGGGGGAGAAAAGTCACTTGTATCAGGGGTCAGGCTGATGGTGCGAAGAGAGGGAGAGAGGGCAGCGGAGGGAGAGAGGGCAGCGGAGGGAGGGAGGACAGCGGTAGAACAGCGCGTTAAAGAGGCCCGGCTTTTCGGAGTCAAAGGTAAAGAGGTCCGCACATTAAAAGCGGGTGGCCGGTTTATGCCTTTGCTGACAGTAACTTTGGAAAGAGAAGCCGCGGGGATGAACCGCATAAAGTAACAGCAGAAAGTGGCCGCCCGCTTTTAATGTGCGGACCTCTTTACCGCTGACTCCGGAAAGCCGGCCCACTTTACCGCGGTAGGAGAACAGTGAGGGCGAGCCGCAAGAAATGCGCTCCACTTCTGCTGAGGAGGGAGCCCACCAAGCCCATCACTGTATCACTACATGAGTAAAAATATGCAAGCCTCCTTTTTTGGGCTGGACAGTGCAGCTCGGTAGTGGCGCAAGTCTCTAGAAAGCGTTACTCCGTATCAAGGAAATACATGCTCATTTCATGTGACGGAAGGGATGTTGGGGGGGGGGGGGGGGGGGGTCGCGGGTTAGCAGGGCATTTATGATGGGGGTCGCGGGCTAAAAACTTTGGGAACCCCTGGTCTAGTTCACTGGAGGAATGAATATTTAGTAAAAGTGTTTGCCTCAGAGCGGGAGGCAGATAAGGCCATAGACTGTAACAAATATCTGTAAAAGAAGATTCATGTGGGACTGTCACCTGAAATGGCCTCAGGAGAGAAGATCTGAATCAAAGCACCACATAAAAAGAACCAAACTGTCGTCAATTAGAACCAGTCTGGGATTTTATTGAGAGAAATTTAACACAAGGGAACCCGGGTTATTTAATGAGGTCAGCTGAATCTGTCAACTATCTGCAAAACAACTTAAATTTAATGCTTCAGAACAGATATTGAAAAAGCTGATGCGATAATATGCTCTTACATCTTAAACGTATAGTGTAATTCGGATACAAACTTTCAAGAATATATTGCGTAAAAGGTATCAACACTAGAATGAACCGAGACTATTATCATTATTGTGTTATTGACCTTTATTTTAAGAATCTCTGTTTCAGGGGAGTCCTAGCCCCAGACAGGACAGGAGAGAGGTCATGGAGGGAGATACATGTTTTTAGTGGTAAGGGAAACTGGAGCACCTGGAGAGAACCTACGCATACACAGGGAGAACATGCAAACACCACGCAGAAAAAAATCCTGCCTGGAGTTGGAATGAAACCCGGGAAGAAAGTGTCAAAGTGTGATGCAGTGTCAGTAAAACAGCACACCAAATAGCAAAACAGTTTTTCAGCGCTAAGGCGACTTCTATATTTATCTAAATCATCCATCCATCCATCCATTTTCTTCCCCTTAATCCATTTCTGGGTCGGGGGGGTGGCCAGAGATGCCACCCAGTACACAGAGCACCAGCCCCTCACTGATCCTCCTGCAGGTGGTGAGTCCACAGGAGCTGAGATCTTTCAGTGGGGGCTTCAGGCAAAGTGGGGTTAAGTGTCTTGCCCAAGGACACAACGACAGCAGTCATCAGTGGGAGTCGTGAAGTAGGTCTTACGGTGGGCTCGAATCCACAACCTTCAGGCTCAAAGGCCAATGCTCTACCAACTGAGCTACTGTCGCCCCTATCTAAATCATGTCACTTGTATAAAAATAACCTGCGGACTAACACTGGATTAGACTTGGTAAACCAGGATCTAAAAAACGTGCAAATTCACCAAGTTAACCCGGGCCTGATGTAATCCATGTGATCTCAAACACAGTCCATTTCCCCCATATATAAACACTTTTAAAACTGGTACTGCACATTGTTGCCACATTTGTTTACAAGATCATCTTACAAATAACACATTTTACAGCATGCATGCCAGACTACCAACACACTATACTTTTTGCAACAAGATTAAAACCACCCGGTGTCTAGCCACGATCTGGTGCGGTTTTTCTGTTTGGGTGGCTGACCTTGTGGGACATCCGACAGCCCAGAACTGAATCCGTGGGAAATGTGTGAATGTTTCAACAAGGGTCGAAAAGTAGAGAGGGGAGAGATTGCCAAAGAGTCTGTGCAAAAGAGCAGCAATTAATTGGATCCATATTAAGATAAGGCGGCTTTGGGAGCTGGCTGGAGCTTTTAAGAGGAAGTATGAACCCAGCAGTGAGAGATAAGGCCAATGAACCTCAGAGGACTCAACTCCTCACTGTAAACTCTCTCGCTCTTTACTCAGCTGTGCAGGGAGAACAAGCTGAGGCCTGTCAAGCTAACATGATTATAATTGAATACACACACATGGTTAGTATTGGAGGTAGACCGATGTATCTGTGAAGCAATATGTGGATCTGCCATGAATCTCACATGAAGGTCAATACTTTGTTTAAACCAGGCAGCTGTTTATAGAGCTCTAAAGTTTCTTTGGAAGAGGTTGGCCCACAAACCTTTGCTAAACTGGTCTATTATACAGGCTGTATTAAAACAGCTGAAGATTAGCTTAATTTCGGTTCGATTGAGTTGCTGGGGATTTCTTTAGTTTGACAGTCCCATTCTCCTTCTTTTATCGTTACCCTAACCTCTGCTTATTTATATATTTATTTGACAGTGACATTGCACAATAAATAAATTGTTCAGACCATAATAGCTACAGTACAAGCTGTTTTTCATCTGTAGTCCATAGGCAGAGGCAAAGAATGAAAAATGAGAAAGGCCATTGTAGCATTTAAAATACAGGTAACCACAAAGAGACACAATATTGACAATATATACCTCAAACAATCATTTACCATCTGCTTACTGACTGCTTTTAGTCATTAAGCAGATAATTATAAGCATCTGTGTGTTCCATTTCACAAACACCCAAGTGAAAGCAGTCTGATTATTGGCATTTTATATACACAATTTAAACTAACGTGAAGTCTATATGACGTTGTTCTGACCAGGCAGTTGGCAGGACAGAGGTCGTGTGGGAGTCCTCGCACAAAACACACTGCAACTTAAAGGTTTAGCACAATTCAGTGGTGGTTTTAAGCCGCAGATGACAAAATTAGCGCTTTTCTAATAGATATCATGTGACCCCTGTTATCCTCATCCACCTTCTGTTACATTTAGGTTGCATTTAAGTTCTTACCCATTATCGGAATGAAACACCCACTTTAACAAGTAAAATAAGTGTATCCTCTGCAGTTCAAGTTGCTTTGCTTTTAAGAAGGGCCTTGTTTGATTCAACAAACCTGTCAGACGTATTTGTTTTATATTGATACTGTCCGATTGTGCAGCTGGACTGTTTCCAAACACAGTGAGAGTATACAATCCCCCCATACCAACAGAAGTGTGATGTGCGATGGAGCAGACTGTTTGGATGAGCTCACCTCTCCACTGAAGCGGCTGCCTCCTCCAGCTGTGAGAGGAGGAACGGGTACAGAGCAGGGAAACGGGTGAAGAACTCGCGGCCGGTCATCCTGAACATACAGGAAGCAAGATAAACAGTTTAGTGCTTAGAAAATGTGAAGCTGTAACCTTTTAAGTGATACAAATATATCCACATTGTAGCAGGTACGGAGCAATATTTTATAAAGATTTCAGTTCTGCTTTAGCGCCATTTTTATCACTTAGAAAAGAACCAATGTAGAAAGTACAGTAGGTGTGTGACAAATTCCCATCATATGACATGAATTTGCAAATGTGTTTTTATAACATCAAGCACTACATTGGGAACAGTAACAATCCTATAACATTATTTTATTAGCCATCTAAAGTAAATCTTTGTAATGAAAAGAGTAATTAATGTAGTGAAACAAATTGAAATAGAGCTGGTACAGATCACTTCAGTTTTGAGACTCTTGGAAAAGATCAATAACACATTTGTTTTAGTACTTTATGACCAGAGAGAGAGAAAGTCAAGCAGTGTCAACAATTTGTATTGATTTGAGTGACTTTAATAATAATAATAATAATGCATTGGTTTTATATAGCGCTTTTTTGGACACTCAAAGACGCTTCACATGTGGTGGTGATGAACTACTACTGTAGCCACACTACTACTGGGGCACACTGACAGAAGCGAGGCAACCAGTATATGCCATCGGCCCCTCCGACCACCACCAACCATTCACACACACACCAGACTCATTCTAGGCAATGTGGGTGAAGTGTCTTGCCTAAGGACACAACGGCAGTTTGGCACTTTACAGCCGCAGCCGCCCCACTGTGGCTGCTGTTCCCAGAGGTTTAGTGTCTTGCCCAAGGACACAACGACAGCAGACAGTGGGAGTCGATGAAAGTCGGAGTCGATGAAAGTCGGACTCGAACCCACGACCCTCTGGCTCAAAGGCCAATGCTCTACCAACTGAGCTACTGTCGCCCAGTAAATTTGTCTCCGACTTGTAAATACACACACAATCCAAGGAAATTCAAGGAAAATAAACGTCACTCGTAAAGCACAGTTTAAATACCAGGCAAAGTGCTGAACAAAAATGGGCATTAATAATCACAGTTCATTCAAACCACAAAAATAAACACATATACAGTAAATAAATAGTTAAGCTTCATAGGATCTTAGGATATGCTGGTTATAAAAAGCAGGTATGCTACTGATTATTAAAAAAAAAAATTCCTCCAGATCTGGCACCCTTCTTTTCCTTCTTCAAATGGATTCTTATGGCTTAAGAATTGACTGAGAATCTTAAATACATTGTTTGTTATTTTGTCTGTAGCCTCTGCCAAACGGACATTTCCCATCGAGAGCTGTATATGAATATAAATAAGTCCGAATAATCTGAAACATGTGTCTATAATGAAATGCAAAGGCAAGAACTCGCCAATACAAATTCATTACATAAGTCGAGCAGAACAGGGAACATTTTAATTGCTACTTTCCATGATACAAATGGCACACGGTTTAAACACTAAAACAGAGGATTTCACAAGAGTCAGGAAGTTATTTCAGTAATTATTGTAATTATTGCAACAATGATTTCAAGATTTCCACAACTGTTTGTCTTCGGCGCAGTGTAATGCTGAATGGGCAATATAATCATGCTATTTTAGGAGTTCTGAAGCTGGTCTGGATTAGCCACCTCAGGGATAATTGTCACTGTGTGTGGTGCCGTATGGGAACCTGCCTACACTTTCCACAATATGAATCATTTTCTCTTGAAACGCCAACACAGCCGAGCCGAGGGCAAACAATCAATATGTCATTATAGTATAGACTTTCAGCTTAAATATGCAATGGTGAAAACAAATGTGGCGTTTGCAGCTCAGAACAAATTGTGATTTTAAACACTGTACTTCCATTGTCGTCGGTTCAGGATGAAGGTTTCATACTTTAGCTGTTGGTTATACAGGATGAGAGGAAGCCCTTTGGAAGAAACGATAAAATGTAAAGCTGCATCATGCTCAAACATAACTGATATTTGGTTTCACTTTTACTGCGCATTGAAGGTTGACCGTTTTATACAAAAATGTATTCTTGTATAGCCCTAAATCACAACAGCAGTTATCTCAGAGGACTTAACAAAAACATTGAAATCACCAACACAGATCAGAGAATCAACAGTTAAGACACAAAATATACACATATGTATTGGTCCATGGGGAGAGACCAATGTCCATGAGTGCTGATAAATGTCTAATGTTGTAGAATTTTAAAGAACATAGTTTAAAACATGATTCAATTCATATTTTGGATAGCCCTAAATCACAACAGTAGTTATCTAAGAAGGACTTTACAAAACCACTGAATTTGCCAAAGATCGGAGGAAATCCTTTGTGCCTTGTGCCATTAGACTGCACAACTGTACCGTTTTTAAGTTATATTTTAGCAACTTATTTAGTATGTACTTGTGATTGTGTGAATGAGAGCAGCCGGCACCACTGTAACTTCCTTCGGGACCACAGTCCTTTCAGTTAGACCCACTAACTATCGAACAGACCCTCCTGCATCAGCAAGGAAAAACTCTAAAACCCAGTGTGAGAAAAGTGAGAAACTTCTGGGTTTTTTATGGCTGACTATTTTGAGTGTCACAACTAAAAAAGTATATAGCTAAAGTTGTCCTGCAGATAATAAAAAGATTCTTAACACGCCCGGATTTACCTCTCCACGCAAACTACCTCCAGCTAATCCAGTGACATTCTCAGCCCTTCTTCCGCAGCAATGGACACGGCAGACCATCACGGACCAGCGGCTCTACGTCGAGCTCCTAACCCTTACGCTCATGATCAGAGATGATAGGTAAAACCCGGAGTTTTGGCATTTGACTCAGCTCTTCACAACTCACGACACTCTGCACCTCTCAATCTCACGCTTTGTTCTTTGCTCATGTTTTGTGTGTGTGTGTGTATGTAAATGTTATCAATCATAAAATTATGTTAATCTTATCTGACAATCAGGTGACCGAATATTTAAGATCCTGCGCTACAAACTTCAACAAACCACTCACTGTATCTATACAATAACATGAGAACAAATGAAAAATCCATCATAAAAGGTGAAACACTGGGAAAATTACAGTATTTTAGGAGATTTTGGTGGCTTGTACATTTAGATTGTTGAGGCCTGAACAGACAGAGACAAGCAAAGGAGCTGCAGAGATAAAGATATGGTCTATTGCCAAACTGTCAACAAATCAAGACTTGTTTTCGCCGAAATAAGTAAACAGTCCCATAATACACTATGCATGTGCTCCCATCATAATTGCGCCTTTCTCTCACAGACGCACTATACACAGCCTATCAATGAAACACCAAGTAGTATTTCCAAACACTTTGACCACCACTCACCCCCCAGGCCTTGTAGATGTTTTAGTTAAGCGTACGCGGCTAAATTGAGAGTGGCCTAAAGAGAACAGCCGGGACACGCAGAGCACATGATCAGAGACGAACACAAAGACAGAATCAGGATCAAATCACGGCTGACATTTAAAGTCCTCCACAAGAAGTCAAACTAACACAGAGGATGGAAAAGAAACCAGCAAATTGTTGCATTTGTTTTCATTGAACGAATCCAGTTAGAGCCGAAAACAACGATTTTAAAACCACTGTTAAAAGTATCTAACTTCAGATTGATAAATGACAATGGAAACGAGAAGTGAAACTATATGCAAAAATATCAAAAGGTAACGATTTTGCAGATTAACATTTAAAACATTTCGGTCTGAAAGCTGCTCTCTTTCTGTGGCAGAGGACATGTGAAAACTGGTGATAATCCCAAACCGTGCTGATTATAGTTAGATCTGATACATTCTGTTTGTCCCAACAGAAAGAGTCCTCTAACAAGAACATTTTGTGAACGAGTTAGACCACAACATGCGGTCTTTATCTTAATCTTTTTCAACCTGAGAGCTGATTGGCTGAGGGCGGGTGGTCCTCTCTTTTTCACTTTTCTCACTCTAAAGGGTTGACAAAAATGCACGAATGTGAAAACTAGAGATAGGACCAGGGTAGACTGATGTATTACAAGTTATTAAATATTTGTTGTGGTTCAGAATGTGGAAAATGAGGAGACACCTACATTTTCAAAAGAATAAAAACATACATGACAAAACACACATGGCCAAATTTGCATGCGAAAGCCAGAACTCTGAAGCTGTGCAGGGCAGGGCCTGGTTAGTACTGTGATGGGAGACCTCTGGGAACACCAGGGGCCACAGTGGGGCGGCTGCAGAGTGCTAAACTGCGGTTGTGTCATTAGGCAAGACACTTCACCCACATTGCTTAGAATGAGTCTGGTGTGTGTGAAAGGTTGGAGGTGGGAGGAGATGATGGCACATATTGGTTGCCTCATTTCTGTCAGTGTGCCCCAGGGCAGCAGTGGCTACAGTGGTAGTTTATCACCACCGTGTATGGAGTGAAAAACTAATGTCATGTGAAGTGTCTTTGAGTGTCCCGAAAAGCACTGTATAAAACCAATGCATTATTATTATGATTATTATTATTATTATATCATAAATGACTGGTTTGGACAAATACATTTCTCAGGGTGTCGATATTGAATAACTCATCATCAACATCAGTGAATGTATTGATACCAACTTGAGTGCAGTTTCTCTTCCTCTAACTGTGACATCAAGACTTCTCAATCATCCAATAATCTGCCTTTGAAAAATCGTATCCCAAAGATTGACAGTAAACCATTACCTCAAGCAATTACCTCTATTGTGTATCTTGGAATCAGCTGCAGACACATGCTCATCTCCTCCAAATGACCCAAAGTCCAAAAATACAAGTTTTCTCCAAGAGACTTAATTTCCTCCTGGATGTTCCCTTTGGCTTCCTGTGAGAGGAGATAAGTAACACTATAGGCCTCAGAGGGACGCATCATCAGGGCCAAAGACTCAGGCCAAAGACAAAGCAATGACAGCACTGCACAAGATCTGTCTGCTCCAGTTTATTGTAGCCTCGTGGACGGTTAAGCAGTTAGTTTGATAAATGAGAGGCTGGAATTAGAAACCGCACATAA